TTTATTTTCTGTTACTTGCTCTTAGTGATAATTTCTCCATGTGGTAATTCCTCAAAACTTTGGCTGTTGCTGCCAGCACACTATAATTTATTCTGTCATACAACTTTGTTTTACATTCTTGCAGCAATCCTGAATATAACCCACCTTAACGCCACTTTAACTCAGTACCTTTAAACCAAACTTTCTTTTGTCAGTAGTCCAAATTCAGTAACTCGTATGGAGCCCAAGCTGTTTCTCAACAGGTTCTCAATGCACATATACAAGTTGCTCAGGACTACTCTACCGAGAAACAGCAAGGAAAGCTGAGGAAACACTGACTGTGAATTCAGTATAAACAATGTCATTTCTAATCACTGGCTTGAAAGCCTTGTCTGGGTCTCTCTCATTTGGGCATCTAAATCTGTGCCCTTCAAAGCCTCTAACATTCTTTTCCTTATTATTACCATTATATTATATATTTATCTTTAATAGTGAAACATCCCTGAGTGGAGTACAGTGCAACATCTGCATTGAGCAGTGATTGTCATTTACAAAGCACAAAACTTTGAAAGGAAAGAAGAGGACTGGTTCTCTGACATGCTATTGCTACAGGATGTCAGAGACAATAGTTAGTCTTCAGAATGGAGGCAGAAAGTGCTGGGATAAGTTATTCAGTATAAATACCAAATTTTGTTAGCGTCAGCAAAAAGAAATCTGTATTTGTCTCAGGTTTCACTTTCAACACATACAGGATAGGCCTAGGCCAAAATGGCTGTTATATTTCATTTTCATCTTTTTATTGAGTTCTGTATAGCTGAGCTTCCAAATAGACTATGGTAATATAATACAGCCCAAGGAAGGACATCAGGATATTTTGAATGCATGCTGCAATCAATGGAGTATATGGAGAAGAACAGTACTGGGGGAAGGCGCAAGGAGCCTGACCACTATTTTTACCATATAATGTTGCTTTATGGCAGGGGGCTATTTAGATGCAGAGGCCAGCACCTGTGCATCTGTGACTATGAAGCCTGATCAGCCACAATTCAAATTTCAGCTTTGAGGCTACAGCAGCATCTATGGAGCAATCCCACCAACTCTTCATAACCTGGGGTTGGAGGTAGGAAAGGGGATATTCTTTTCCCCAACTTTTGTAGAGTAGCCCAGTACATAGCTCATGCTGGTCCTAGGTAATAGGGTATGTGCCCTTTCTGCTTAAATATCAAGATGGCAACTCCCCACCCCCCTCCCTCCCAATCAAGTCAAAGAAGAACTCCCATTAGTACAGGCTGCTTAGGCTGAACACAGATGAAAGCAATCACAGTTCAAATTGTCCTGGGTACAAAAAGCCTTTCAGCCAAGACCCTCAAACCTTCCCCAAATGCACAAATTGCCCCAATCTAAAAATATAAGATGAAATGGAGGAAATTAATTATCTGCTGTGAAATGAAGCTGGAATTAACAATGAGAAGCACAAAGTAGAAACATTAAAGCTTATATGAAGCCAACATTTGACAGGAGTTCCATAAAACTAAAGCTTCAAACACTGAGGGCCTTTAATTTTATGAGGGTTTGAGAAACTCCAATGAGGTGTGGAGGGGCCTCCATTTTCATTGCCTCCAGCTGGAGCTCTGGGAGCCCAGCAACTCACAGGATCAGATCCTAAAGTTGCTTTTTGCAAACCAATCATAATATATATATAGCATTTGGAAACTGCTTGATTGAATTGAGTGCCTTCTATTATCCTGTTTTCCTAGCAATCAGTAAAGCAATCTTTCCATTAGAAGGAAATATGACTCTTGGAATTAATTCTTTATACAAAGAGCTAGCAGGAGTAACATTTACACCAAAATTAAGTCCCGGTAGTAGTGTAACAAGCTGTCTACATCTGTCTGATAGATGCTGAGGATCATTTGGTTCAATGTGGTTGAATTATCTGAATATAATGCTAGAAGTGGAAGAGCTAACATATATTTTTATACCCTTTTTTTTTGTTAGAGGTCTGGGACTAATCAATCACTGAAAATCAGTCCCATTTAAAGTGCTTGTCATTAAAAAGTCAACATGTATCAGCAATTACCACACAATGCAGTTATGGCAACTTCTAATTGTAAGGAGCTAATGGTGGTGAGTCAAATCCCACTGTGGAATAACTAGAGCTAGTTGTACATAAAACAGTACAGAAATATTTTTTGGAATTAATGCCTAGACTTCAATTTGCTATCAGTTGTGGACCTTATATTGTACATGGTTCACAAGTATTTTGGTGGCTGAGAGTTATACATGGAAAAGATCTCAAATCTCCAATTTCTTAAATTTTAGCACATATGTCCCAAATTCAGACTGCGAGTTGTCATTTATTGTACTGTAGTTTTATAAATTTTAGTCAGACAATTAAGTAGGAGAAGGAACATTATCACTTTTAAGTGGCCAGTCTCATATTACAAATAATGTAACAAGTAATTAGCAACTAATCAAAATTAGCAAACAAGTTGTGTGTTGAAATGCACCTATATTCACTTAATGCAAATTGAGAGCCTGTGTTCAAAGAATTCAAAAGCTATAAGAAAAGAAGGTAGGGAATGTACAATAAATATAATGTTCAATGAATAATTTTACCAGGTATTGTGGTAACTATTTGCAAATGTTGCCTTTTTAATGGTGACCAATATACTTTGTATATAAAAAAGTAACACTGCTTTTATAACCATCTTAATGTAGGGGAGCAACAGTACATATTAAAAACTGGTGTGGGGATCTGGAAAGGAAAATCAGAGCCTACATCCCTGTCATCAAATCCAAGTTTGGATTGTGTGGCCTTTGGTGAGTCAGTTAACGTCTTTGTCTCATTTCCTCATCTTTAAAATGGGGGTACCGATTCTTATCCATGAAAGGTGCTGGGAGGCATAATTAGTGAATGGTTACCTAGTGCTTTGAACATGGAAAGTGCTATATTAAGTGCTAAATAATGTCTTTTTAATGTCTATACCCCACATTCAGTTAGTTTGCGTAAAGTACATGACCTCAAATCTCTAAGATTGCTGTCTTATTTTGCAAAGGAAAGAACTGAAAAACTTTTAAGGAAGCAACATAGAGTAATGAAGGAGTGCTCTTACTAGCACCACAATACAGCCTCCTTATTTACTAACAAAAAGTACAATTATTCTTATCACATACTCTACGTTTCTGGACCATGGGCCAAGAGGTTTTCAAATATATGTACTTGTTCTTTGTGCTTAAAAAAGACAAACTGGGCATGTCTACATGTGTACTTTACTGCGCATTAGACTAACATGTAGTAAAGTGTCACTGTCTACATGTGTGCCACAATTACTGTGCAGTAGATTAATTTACTCCGGCGTAGGATAGTTCCGTCAGACACTATTTTATGCCATAGTAAATTACTGCTCTTATTTACAACAGTGGGTCAGGTTCATGCTCTTCGCCTTCTTTGCTCCAGTTTCCTCCTTGGTAGAATGGGAATATAAATACCTACATGGTCTCACAAGAGACCATGAAGCTGAGTCAATGCTTGTGAGCTGAGCTGAGAAGGACATTACTGGGGAAGTGCAACTACTTGTTACTACTCTAATTACAGACATTTCAGTTTGATTAGGAATGCCAGGGTACATGGCTCCAGTTAAGAAAATGCTTTTGGCTCCAATTGAGAAGAGTTATTTTAAAAACTGATCATTTACATTCCTAAGTAATTTCTGAAGCACAATCAGGTTTACGTTGTATTTTTAAGGTCAGCAACTAGTCTTTACAGTGACTGCATGGGCCAGATGCGGGTCGCTGGTCTGGTCTGTGGGCTGGACTGGGACTAGTCCTCTATGTAGTGGCCATGGTGCTGGGTCTAGTCCACATGCACCAGCCCTGGGGCTCGCTGTGTATGCAGCACATGGGGCTGGTACAGGGCATGCATACACCCTGGACTGTCCCCTGTGCAGCATTCAGCGTGTGTGACATCAAGTCCAGCCCATGTGCTTCATGCAGAAAGCAGGGCTGCGCTGGTGCATAAGGTTCTTCCAGTGACCACAAGGCTGGATCCCTCAGCTCCAAGAGCTGGATCCAGACCACAAGCCATATGTTTGACACCCTGTGTTATGTGAATAGTGGAGAATTTTGCTTCCTTAACTTATTGCTGTCGTATCTGGTGCATGAGTGCTAAGGAAAATGAACATCATCAAGAAGCAATTATTAACATTGCCTAAATAGGCCCTGTCCATGCAGAAGGAATACAGAAGTGGCTTTTGGGGGAAAAGAAACTATTCCCTCTAAAAGAAAGGGAGAGAAGGATTAAACCAGAACCTTTCAGAGCCCCTGAAACTGGCTGAAACAGACTAACCATACAATATCCCTGCTCAGGTTCCCTTGGGTGTCTTCTCCAGCTCCATATCAGAACAGCTCCAGAGGAACCTAAAGACAGGGCTTTCCATCAGCCCATAGCCATTACAAAAAAAAAATATAGGGTAATTGCACTGTGTGGAATGCCATAGTTTTATGGCAGGAACTTGGGAGTAAAGAATGTATCTCCTTGTAGCCCTGTTTCAGGCTTCGCCTTTCCTATCATCTGATCCTGTATAGATCTTAGACCATGTGGAGTAGTCTTCTCAGATGAAAGGAATGGTAGAGATCATCATGGCAGAAGCTGAATGGCCTGTGCTTTCACAGGTAGAAGGTCTCTACCTGGATGGATCTGAGATAAATGAATACATTATTCACTACTGCTTTTTCATACTCTGCTAACCTCCTACTCCCCTTCCTCCAGTACAAAGAGACTGGCAAAAGTGAATACAATGGAGTAGAGCAGCCCAGTTTTTGGGGAATGCTCTGGATCAACTTTCCATCTACATCTGAATGTTGCTGCTGTAGGGTTGCCATTTTTCCTTCTGTAACCAAAAATCCACCCCAACAATCTCCTTCTTCCTGAAGCTGTAATAGCATCACTCAAACATCACAAATTAATACAAAATGGAAACCCTCTGGTTTCATTTAGCAGCTGGTCATGTTTTAGTCTCATTGTCATCATCATCCCATGCTTACTTTTAAAAACTACTTTGGGTCTGTGTTCACTGAAGTCAATGGGAATCTTTCTATTGACTTCAATAGAAGCAAGATCAGGCCTTGCATACTGCTTTCAAAGAAAATGAAGCAAAATATAAGCTTCAGCTGAGTCACAAACAAGTAAATTAGCCCAAACAGTACATTTTTGGGACCCAACAAAAGCTTATAAGTAAAAGTTTATACTGTTTGGGATAATTTACATTTTTACTCCATATTCCAGATTCCTTACTGGCCTCTTGTCCTGTAATGTTAATTTCTACATATGTCTTATTCCTGTAACAGGGAAAAAATTCCAAACTCTTCCTCTGTACACTTGAATCATCCAGACAAGGCTTTTGCACCATTGATATAATCCTGATGTTTCCTTCACCAGCTATGGACATGCACTACATTACACATTTCTCAGAAGTGGTATCATCCTGTCACTAGAGATTGGAGATTGATGATTTAAATCTAGCTGACAAAGCAAAATCCCAATTACCCAACGAAAATCTAATATATTACTTGGAGAGTAAAAAAAATTCAGGAGAGCCTGACTGAGCATCCTTTGAAAATAGGCATGGGATTTTAAGCTACAACATTGTGCATATATTACACACATATATATATATATGTATGTGTATATAGTACATATACATATATGTATGTTTCATACATGCACAACAATTTTCAAGACAGCTACAAATCTCAACATGCATTAAACTATCTAAAAACATAGAAATAGGCAAGTCTAATAAGTGAAATTTTCTTAAATTATATTTGAACAATAAACAGCAAGAGTAATACTGCAAAGTACTGCTCTATTCTCATTTATATCTACAATAAAATTCTATGAACAGTTGTCTCCCAAAACATACCCCAATAAAATAAAATTAAAAAAGGTAACACCCAGCGTCTATATTTTTTTATGTTTATGGTCAGTTCAAAAAAAAAATAAAGAAAAGAAAAAAGAGCCCCACTCAGAGGTGCATATTTACATTCTTCAAACTGTAGCGGTGAAAAATAATTCTATTAAGTGCAGGACATTCCTAGTGTTGCAGTAGTGACATTTTAAATAAGTTCTTCATGAAAACATTTCTTTCGTCTTAACAGTGATGCATTCCATGACTATGTGACAATTCTATCTCCCCTTCACTTGCAGCCAGTGGTAGAGTCTGGATTGAAAAGCTCCTTGTATAATGGAGGAAAGAGCGTGTTCACTATATCTGGATGAGATTGTTTAAATACCTGCAGTTTCTCTCCGTGCAAGTTGCAAAGTGCAGTAATGGTTGGTATCTTGGCTATTAACTGTAGGACATAAAGAGAGAGAGAGAGACTATTTAGAATTTTTCAAAATGATTTTCAAAATGAATTGGGGTAGCAATCTTTTGGGTAGAGGAGTGATTGTGATTCACCAGAAGTGTGAAAGGACCTCTGTAAGAGAGCAGACTTTGGTTGCCTAGGCTGGTCTTTTAATTAAAGATCAAATATGAATGCCTTGGAGAAAGAAGAGGTCATTTAAGACAAAAATGAAAGAGCTCCATACTGAAAAGAGCTCCTTAGTGCATTCTTATTCTCAAAATAAGAAAGTTGGAATGAGAAAGGAGGAAATAGGACAGGGTGGCAGGGAGATATGAATTGTAATGGCCTCTTCCTTGTTTTCAGAAAAAAAAAAACCTCGCTGTTGTTTACCAAATCAAAGAAGCCCGCACAAAATGATAGAATTTCCTATCAAATGTAACATTTCTGGTTTATCCCGTCGTGTGGTGTGAGGAGCTACCTTTGTCAAAGTCTCATCATCAAGATGGTTCTTCTGAATCACATGCTGAAGTGCAAAGTAAATCTTTTCCTGAAGCTTCTGGACCTTCCTTGGTTCTATTAGCCAGGCTCGATCTGGCAAAACAAAGGCAAAGGCTAAAGCCAACAAGGACAAGGAAAGATAGCTTATTCACACCTGGACATCACACACTATGCTGACAAGTGTTAATAATAATCTCATTACGTTGAGGAAGGATTGCGATACTATTAACACGTGATTTCAGAAGCAGAATATGTTGAATCATTATCACCTGTGAGTTCAATGGTTCATAACAGTTATGAATGACACACAGTGTCCAGTGCTTTGGTTTGTTTGAATCTATGTTGCCTTTAAACATACGTTGAGAGATTTAACAAAATGGGAAAAGGGCATCTACATATTTCAATATTTTTTGTTATGCCAGAGTTCATATTTCTTCGTTATCTTATCCTGTAGGACATCTTCAAATTTATATCAATCTCCATGTCATGCTGTTTGAGTATCTTTTACAGGTAGAAAGAATAAAACAAAATAATCAAAATATTCACCTCTATGAGAGAAATAAAATGTAAAATGAAATATAAAAACAAAAGAAAAAAATCAGTCTCTACTTGGCTAATATTTTGAGACCAAGTGTTAACAGAACCGGTTTACTTCAAATTGTTTCTTAACAATTTTGGTGAATTATATTTTGCAAGTGCCTTATTATGTAAAAATTGACTTCTTCTAAAGTCACCCAAAACAAAACAAGCTCATAATTTTCTGGAAGAATAATATTTACAGGTGTAGTTGCCTGCCATATTATCATATATTTTCTTAAGCGGAAGGCAAGCCTCTCGTTGATTTTAGTGAGAGTAGAATAAGGGTTTTTTTTTAAAGACCTATATTTTTCCGACACATGTCTTCCTGAAACAAACATATGGTAAATGATATGACAGATCTTGATTCAATTCAGAATGCATTAATACAATACACTTACTCTACCAACAAACTTTTTCCTATCATACTGCAAATCTTGCTCTCTCTCTCTCTCTCTCTCTGTCACACGCACACACACACAGAGCGTTTCTCTCTTCTATCCAGCCTGATCTTAGAAATAGGTTGGGTTTTTGAACAGGAAATGAAAAATCTACCTTAGTGCAGAAGATAAATCTTACAGTAAGAGCTGTGAGGTGCGGCTCTTTAAAGGCTGATTTTTCCTTTTCTTAGTTACTGATGTGGAGTGATTTTACTGATTGCATAGGATTAATTTAAGTTGACCTTTTCAATGATCACACTGGCTATACAGGCTAGACAACAGTTGTATTTCACCATCTAATTAATAGGATTTTATTATTTTCTCAGTCACTTGGTGGGAAGACTGCAGGGAAAGGGTACAGCACGGAAACACTGCCGATTAGAACACACTAGTCTGTGCTCTGAAGACAGTTGAGATCTCCAGACACTAAACAGATGCTCGGGAAAAGAAACCCTGTCAAAATGCTAAAGAATCTTGTTTGTGTTAGGTAAGCAAGTAGATTCTGTACCAGCAGCAGTAACAAGATTAGCTAAGAGCTTATATAACACCTGCACAAATGAGCACAGGATAATAATATTCAGACATCATATGTTTAGTGCCAAATGGTATGCTGTCATAAGAACACACGTTTCAATGGAGTTAAATCCAAGCCCATTGTGGCAGACTGGAGATAAACAGTTTTATCACAGGAATATTTTCTAAAAATGATCTGCCGGTCAGAAGAACAAGTTTAGAAATAGACCAAGGCTGTTTGTACTGTTTGACTGGTCAAATAAAGTATTGGACTGGTCATACAAAGTTCAGTCAATTGACTGGTCAAATATTAGTTAAAAAAAGTATAAAAACAATAATACACTGAAAAAGCACAAATTTTGTATGAAGAACCATGTCAAAAACAATAAAAAAGCATATATCTGTTAAGAAACCTACATTTTTTGTAACATTGCTGTATTCTTTGACTGGTCAAAAAATATGCAGTCAATTGACTGCTCAATTGATCAGCTTGCCAACCATAGTTGATACATAGATTTGGTGAGTTATTAATACTAATACATAATACTACCAGGTAGGGGATGTGATGCATAAAAATTCAGAGTTGTTAAATACATCACTAGAGGGGTGATTTTCTTTTTTTTTTTTTCAGTAAATAGTATATTTTCCAGAATAGTATGTTTTCAGTCACTCAGAAACTTTCCAAGTTTGAATGGAAGTCCCCAACTAGTTTGTGTTGGGAAAATAAATTCCAGGGTTTGAGTTACAAAACGGGTGGAGGCAGAGGTGATATCTGTCACCCAATATCCCAGTGGTAAAAGCAGCTATGCAGAATGTGGAAAATAAGATTCAGTTCTTTCTCTGTGACCAAGGATTCGAACTCCCTTCTGTGTAACTACCATTACACAGTATTCTGGGATGGGGTTACTCCCAGTCTTTTCTGTTAATACTATTCCACCTTGCATAAATACATAAACATGCCTTGGAGTAGGGCAGTGGGTCTTAATCTAGTTAGACACAAGGCGCCTGTCATTAGACACAAGGCACCACTCAGAAAATGCCTCCTTTTAGCTTTCACTCAGATTTGACTATGGAGAAATAACTGAGCAATTCTTTTGTTGCAAACAATGCAGAAAGGCTACATATTTTTGACACCCTTGATTCTTATTTGAAATCTCCAGGTGTGCCTTTTGAATCATGTGTGGACGTTGGCAAACTTAACAGTGCTAATATTGTGCTGTAGCCCACAGGACCCTTAAAAGGATCACACGGCGTGGCACCCTGGTTGAGAATCACTGGAGTACGAACTATAAACCAGGAATACTAACTTTCAGGGGACTATCCTATGCTGCCTGTGGGGTAGTTTGAGTAGGGCCTCAGTTCCTTCTGTTGCAGCTGTTCCACTGTGTATAAAATACTTATTCACTGGGTGCATCTATGCATGTCCCTATGGTGCCTTTGTTACTGCGCCCAAAAGGAAGAACTAAATGAGGGCACAGCAACAGCCTGTACTACTCCATGTGCACTGTGCATGGTTAATTTTTAGCTGCTATGTTGCCATAGCAACACACTATACCAAGACAGTGCATTGCTACAGTGATGTAGCTGCAGCGTCATGGTATGCGTCCACCGATGCTACGGCAACATAGCATCATATGTAGACGTGCCCAATGAGACAGAAGATGCCCCCTTATCTTGGTAGACAGGGCACTTATCTGAAAGGTGACACCCCTGAATTCAAATGCCTGGCTTGAATTGTGCAGAAAATGGATTTGTGCAGAAAATGTTCACCTCTCAGCATAACCACGTAGGCTAAGAGCAGACATTCAAAAAGCCCCTAGCAGAAAGTGGTCTAACTACAGCACTTTACTTAAAGTACTATAAGTTAGAATACCTTCCAACTGAACAGACATACACTACTTGGTCAGGTGTGGGGGGTGGGGGTGGGGGGAAACTTGGTGTCTGCCTGCACAGGCCAAAGTCAGCAGGAAGAGGGAACTCCCAAATGCCTCCCAAGAGGTGCCAGAGCAGCCTTCCCAGCCCTGCTCCCCACCAGCTGGCAACTGTCAGCACTGGCTGGGGGCAGAGTGGGGGAACAGAGCCCCCCCCAGTCATAAGGTTCCCCACAAAGCTTGCTAGCTGGGGTCTTGGGGGGGGGGCAGACCAGGTCCCTGTGGTGGGGGGGGCTCACTCTCCCCTGGTCACAGTTCCTGGGGTGAGGCAATGCCAATATGGGCTGTCTTCTGTAGCTTCTGGCTGCTGCTGTCAAGAGGCTGGGGCTGCGGGAAAGGGAACACCCCTGCCTTTAGGACCCTCCTACAACTTGCTAGCTGGGGTCTTTTGGGGCATGGGCTGGGTCCCCATGGTGTGGGGAGGGGGTTTCTCTTCCCCCCACCCAAGCCTCTTCACAGCAGTATCTAGTGTGTAGATACCTTTAAGAGTGTTATGTATAAGTTGTTACATTGGCTGGGGGACTGTAGGAGGGAACAAAAGGCAAGTAGGCTAAGAAGGCTCTTTGAATAAACAAGTTTTATCATTCTATAAGCTTAACTCCTTGGTCTTCTGAGAATAACACATGGTACCAGGAGTGGGGTGCAAAGAAAGAGAGAAAAATGGAGTGTCTCAGAATTCCAGAGGAATTAAAGCTGTCTAGCAATGCAGCAGAAAACTGGAAGAAATTTAAGAAGCATTCCACCATATATATGATGGCCAGTGGAGCTA